TACGCGCGAGTGGAGAAAAGAGGGAGTGAGGGAGTGAGGGAGTGAGGGAGTGAGGGAGAGGGGTGCGGTGTTGATGGTGCTATGGCTGCAATGTCGCCGGAGCATTTGAGCCTCCCAGAGATGCAACGATTCCAGCTCTGTTCGCCACCCCACTCTCCCAGCCAGGAGGAATTGCATGCCATTGAGGTCTCGGACAAAGTGCACCGGGAAGATAGCAAGGTAAAAGCTTCAAATGCTGCGCAGTCCGCAGCTTCAGAGATGGAGTCTCCCAGCGGGAAGATGGAAGAAGAGGGGGTTACAGGGGAAGGAGCAGAGCGTGGTGGAACCAACCGCGGCGGAGGGGATGAGAAGCCTGCACCGCCACTGCCGGCGGTGAGCTGCATCGAGCTTTTCAGGTTTGCAGATGGGCTGGACTATGTGCTGATGGGCATTGGCACAGCCGGAGCCATTATTCACGGCTGCTCCCTGCCGGTGTTCCTCCGATTCTTTGCAGATCTCGTGGATTCCTTCGGTTCCAACGCCGACGAGCCCGATACCATGGTTCGAGAAGTCATCAAGGTTGGCCATGCTCTTCTTTTTTGTTTCAACACGCTTCATATAATCCAAAATTAATCTTCTTTTTATAAATTTTGCAGTTTTCATTCTACTTTCTTGTCGTCGGTGCCGCCATTTGGGTGTCTTCTTGGGCTGGTAAACTTCTTCGCTTCCAATTATGCTTCATTGCTTTTGCCCGAATGTATAGTTGTAACAGGGCAGGAATCGTTTAATCGGTGAAACAGAGATCTCTTGCTGGATGTGGACGGGGGAGCGACAGTCTACGAAGATGAGGATAAAATATCTGGAGTCGGCGCTTAACCAAGACATTCGTTACTTCGACACCGAGGTCCGCACCTCGGACGTCGTCTTCGTCATCAATGCCGATGCAGTCATCGTTCAGGACGCGATCAGCGAGAAGCTTGGGAACTTAATTCACTACATGGCTACTCTGGTTTCCGGTTTTGTCGTCGGTTTCACTGCAGTGTGGCAGCTGGCCCTCGTTACACTAGCAGTGGTTCCCCTCATCGCGGTCATCGGGGGTATCCATACCACAACGTTGGCCAAGCTCACTTCCAAGAGCCAGGACGCGCTCTCTCAAGCCAGCAACATTGCAGAGATGTCACTATCGCAGATCCGGACGGTGCAGTCGTTCGGCGGTGAGTCCAGAGCTCTCCAGGCGTACTCGGAGGCGCTGAAGGTGGCACAGAGGATTGGCTATCGAATTGGCTTCGCAAAGGGCATCGGTCTTGGCGCCACGTACTTCACCGTCTTCTGCTGCTACGCGCTCCTTCTCTGGTGCGGTGGATACCTCGTTCGCCATCACCACGCCAACGGCGGCTTAGCCATCTCCACCATGTTTACGGTCATGATCGGGGGACTGTAAGTTCAGCAAAGCTCATTAAAAGGCCCTTCCTTTTTACCCGTGCCTCAACCTTCTTAGCCTAACAAAATAAATCCCTGTTTGCAGGGCTCTAGGCCAGTCGGTTCCAAGCTTATCCTCCCTTGCTAAAGCCAGAGTTTCCGCAGCTAAGATATACAAGACAATCAATCACCGGCCGGAGGTCGACCGCAACGCGGAGACCGGGATGGAGCTCCAGTCAGTCACCGGTCACGTGGAGCTTAAAAACGTCGACTTTGCCTACCCTGCTCGGCCGGAGGTCCAAATCCTGCGAGATTTCTCCCTCACTGTCGCTGCTGGTAAGACCCTGGCTCTTGTCGGGAGTAGCGGCTCCGGTAAGAGCACTGTCGTGTCCCTCATAGAAAGATTCTACGATCCCAATTCAGGTATACGCTCTAAATCTTCTTCTGCATTTAATATTAATGATCTTGTTTTATATGGCTTAAATTGTTGGTTGTGAAAGGGCAAGTGCTGCTCGATGGTAACGACATAAAGGAACTGAAGCTGAGATGGCTAAGGCATCAGATTGGGCTGGTTAGCCAGGAGCCAGCTCTGTTCGCCACTTCAATCAGAGAAAATCTTCTTTTGGGAAGGGAGGATGCATCGCAGGTACAGATAGAAGAAGCTGCTAGGGTGGCCAATGCCCACTCTTTCATCATAAAGCTTCCGGACGGCTATGATTCACAGGTGCGTGCCTGCTTCTCTGTCTCCCCCCATCCCCAAGCCCATCCCTTCCCGCATCTATTCCCTGTTTACATACATCTCCTTCATAATTTCTCTGTGCCTTTCCTGTCCGCCTTTTTTTGAGTGCTTTATCAATTAATTAAGAACCCCTTTCGCCTTCATCATCTGCTCTAACTCGATATAAATGAAAAGACATATTTCACGGCATCTACAGCTGAATACGATGGCTGATGTCTCCCAGCAAGTTTTCCACCAGTCCAAATTGAGTAACATGGAAAGATTCTTTTTTGCTTTCTCGTGTCCTTTTCTATTTCCAATTTCACAGGCCCACAGCCAATGAAATTGAGTTTGACAAATTTCCTAAAATAATTCTTTTTATTCTTATTGTAAGACATACATATAAAATAAAATAAAATAAAATAAAATAAAAAATGGAGTAAGTCGTCCCGCATGGCATGCCTCCATCAGGTCCCTTTTTAAAGCATCTGCACTATTTTATTATTGTGTGCTTGATGAATTTACAGCCCCTGTGGACTAGAATTAGGTGAGAAAAACTAAATTTTGAAGTGGTGATTATTTAAACAAACGTAGATATATTGCTGGATAAATAGGTGGAGATTATTAAGATAAGAAGATGAGAAATATTGTATAAGATATGTTGTACTAAGTTAGATTGGCAACACTGTTTAACTTAACTTTCCTTGGATTGCAATCAAATATTATGATGTTGTTGAGGTGAAAATATATGCAAATACATATGCATGTAATGGTTTAATCTCAATTAGATTCCTGTATGATTGTCTTGCTAACATCACCGGAACCATCTTAAGTGGCAAGCAAATATTTGCTTAAGCTTGACTAATTTAAAATTTTAATGAAAGGGTTGCAAAATTTAGGTGGTGATACACTATATCTCTTTATAGATGTCTGCCTGATAACTCATCATATCATAATGATCGTGCTATGACTTTTATCTCCATCCCGAACCTACCACAATATGCCTGGATTGTCTCTCTTTGTTTATAATCACAAAAAAATAAGTAATAAATAATAATAAAACCCCACCACAAATCTAATCCCTACAATTAATTCAAATTTTGTACAATGATAACTCTTCAAATTTTGTAGAATGACAACTCGCCATATCACTTGGGCCATGACTTTCAGCAGCGCCTTTAAACTTAAAATTTGGCAATCATACATAGTACTTAATATTAGTTCAGCATCCTAGAATGTGATTCATTTTAACTATATAAGGTAGATGGAATATGTTAGTTTGAAGAAAATAATGCTTAGCAAAGCCATTTAGAAGATGATGATCAAATTTTATATAAAATCTCGAAATAACTCATTTCATCAATTGGATCAAGACTGCTATCACCATACCTCACCTAAAGCATTTTGCTCGGATAAAATTGGGCCTCAAATCCAATGCGTAATATTAGTTCAAAATCATATGACTTAATATTCATCTCACATGAAAGTAGGTGGAATATGTTAGTCTCAAGGCCCCAATGTTCAAACAAAGAGGTTAATAAAAGATAGGATGGTTGAATATTACAAGTGTTGAATGTTTTGCTATTTCTGGATGTGTTGATTTAAGTCCCCTTATAAGTGAGCGATATTTGGGTGGAAATTATGTGATGTCAAATCTATGATATCCTTATCATTCTATCCAACCTCTTAGCTTATGATGACCATGTCTAACTGTTGTATATGCTAGATTTTGAAGAACAAATGCCCAACTAGGACATTGATGCACCTTTCAGTTTTAGAATAGACTCGTTAAGCTACACATAAGAAAAACTTGCCAACTAGGTTCAAGGAGAACTCACTGGTTAGGTTTAAAGTGTATTATTCACTAGATTCAAGTTAAACCCATCAGCTAATTTCTAAAAAAATTAAGCCAACAAGTTCATGGAGAACTTGCGAGACTCATATGGAATCCACCAAGCTGGCTAAATTTAATGGTCATCTTAAACCAAGACATATTTGGCGACTTTGATTAGGGGAATCAATGATTCTCCCGACTTGTTGTTCGAGTATTAGTCTGAGTTCCAAAACCACGTCTCTTAAACTTTTATAGTGAGTTACCAATTGGCTTCACTTTGTGATTTTTATATATGTAGCTCATTCTATGGCTTTTTCTATAGGGTTGAAAACCTCCATCTTCACTTATAAATAGGGGTCGTTGGTAAAGTTAGAATTGTATGATTTGGTCTAGATTCAAATGTTAAATAGCGGTTCACAGTGTCCTTACTATTTCAACATGAGTGTCAGATTCGTGAGGGTGGAGAGCTATTGGACGACTCCTTATATAACCGGTGGTGGAGAAGATTCTCTAATGATGTGGGTTCTCGTTGTCTTGAGGACGGAGCCCCCATTTTATATCTTTTATGCAAGTCGTGTATTGAATGAGAGGATTTTCTGCGAGTTGAGTTTGAGTATCAAACCTCACTTGAGTCTAGTTAGATACCTGAGCAGAGGCCCTTCCTGCGAACGAGTAGGGTACTCATCGCCTCAGGAGGATAATGCATCTGTTCGACCGTTGCTATTGGCTGTGTGGTCTTCGTTATCTCTCTTGACACATCCTCTGCTCGGGGTTCTGAGAGAAAAATGTCCGAACGAGCAGGGTGAACTTTTGAAGGGGTGCTAAACTCACCGCCTCAGGAGGATAATGCATCCGTTCGACCGTTGCTATTGGCTGTGTGGTTTTCGTTATCTCTCTTAACACATCCTCTGCTCGGGGTTCTGAGAGAAAAATGTGACACCTCCGGTGGCAACGGGTTTCACTCTTGCTCGATTTGGCTGTTTGTGATATTTTGAACCCTACGGGAGTGTGGGCAAGGATTCCTTCACTTGCGATCACATTCTACTTTCCGAGAAGATGCTTCAGGGCGTAAAGGAATTCTTAGGCTCAATCAAAAGGGACTCGAGTTGGATCGCTGGGAAAGAGATGACTGCCCGAACATTATTTCTCCCACCCCCTTCTTCCCCTCTGAACTAAGGGGGATCTAGAGGAGAGGGACACTTCGAGCGTTCGCGGTGAGGGCTTTCTTTGTTTTCAGAATGCCGGGGCATTTAGCTCCCTCGGGTCGTATCTTGTACCCAGCGGAAGGCTGTGGTGAATAGACTGGGTCAAGTCAGATTTTTGGAAAGAGCCGATCGGGTCCAACCAACCTATTCGACGCGACAGTGCTCTAGGTACAGGGATGTGTTTGTCTTCCAAATGACAAGATTCTCTCTATTTAGGTGTGTCAGTTGTTACTTATATTATGGATTGATCATTTCTTCTGAGGGTTAGTTTCAGTCTAACGTGTTGTAAAATATGTATATTGTACCTAACTCGATCAAAGTGTTTTTGCGGGTGTTAGCCTGCTGCCACTCGATCGTTTCGTGTTCGACGAACGAGGAGGTTGTAAGGACCATTTAGCTGTTATGATCATATTCGACCGGTAGCACAACCTCCATTACATGGGTTAGCATGAATGGAGTTAGTGCGGTCGTCGAAGATGGTGTCGTTCGGATCACCGAAGGCAACAACTCCTCCCAATTTCCTCGACTCCTTCGACCTTCTTCCTCAGTAGGTTCAAAATGTGTTTTGTCTCCTTCGACCTTCTTCCTCAGTAGGTTCAAAATGTGTTTTGTAGTTGTCTTAGCTGCCTCTGCATGATCGTTTGTCCTAGGATGATGGACCGAAATGAACTTTAGATCAATCCCCTATTTCTTGCATAAGTCTTTCACTCATTGATCCGCGAATCGGGTCCCATTATCGGTGATGATGACGAGTGGCAGCCCATATCAGGAGAGCAGATCATATCATATGAAGTTTTAGATCGACTCTAAGTTGGTTTGCTTCGATTCATTTTGAAAAGTAGTCGACTGCTACCACAGGAACCTCCTTTGGCCTTTTGATGGAGGAAATGACCCGAGAATATTCAATCCCCATATTTCGAACGACCAATGACTGAGTATTGGTTGTAGCTCCTAATTTGGCTGATGATGTAAGGGGGTGTATTTTTGACACTGTTAACGCCTTTTTGAGAATTCTGCAACATCTTTCAAGAGTGTTGGCTAGAAGTACTCTTGTCGTTGCACACGGTAGGCTAGGGTTTTCTCTCTGAAGTGGTTGTCGTATTCTCCCAATGCACCTCTTTGAGCATATCTTTGACTTCGTCCTCTCTCAAACACCTCAAGTAGAACGAAGTAACAGACCTCCTGAAAAACTTTCCATTGATCAACAAGTATAGGGCGCTTTAATTTTAAAACACCTTGGATCTTTGATACTTCTTTCTATTTCTCCATTCTCCAGGTAGTAGATGAATGAATCCATCCAGCTTTTAGTCCAGTCGGTCTTTATGTCCATGGCTTCTGGTTTGTTGATCGTCGACTTGGTAAGCTTTTTGGGGTTTCCTCCCAAGCAGACATGTTTGGAGAGAATGACAGTTACTTGATTGTCTTCCTTGTTGAGGTGCTTGATACAGAAGCTCCTGAATCTTTCGATTTCCTTCCTCATCTTGGCGAGATACATGGCCATCATCTTGTCTCTGTCTTCAAATTATCCGTTAACTTGACTCACAATCAACAAGAAATTAGACCTCATAGGAAGTCCTAATTGACTATTTCACAAGCTAGGAGGAGTTTGACGATAAGCACTTCGTACTCATCCTGGTTGTTTATGACTTTGAATTCCATTGAGATTGACTCGTAGGAGTGTTCTCTGGCCAGGCTGCACAAACCAGACCCAATCCTACTGTTGCCTGCTTGGAGACCTCGTCGACATATAGAGTCTACATCCTGTCATCATTGACATTCCTTCATCTTGTCCCTCTGGCACAGAGAAGTCAGCAATCGCTTGGGCTTTGATTGCCGTCTGAAGGAAGTAGTGATGTTGAATTCATTGAGCTCTAGTACCCACTTTAGCAGTCGGTAGGAGTGCTCGGGTTATGTGAGTACAAACTTCAATGCATGGTCCGTGATAACCCGAATTGGATGCATCTGGAAGTATGATCGAAGTCTGAAAGTAGAAACAATCAAAGCAAATGTTAGTTTTTCCATACTTGGCTGCCCGGTTTCAGTGCTATGAAACACTCGCTTGTGTAGTAGACTGAGTTCTGCTTCCTTGCCTCCTCTCGGACCAGGATTGAACTTATAACTGCTTGTCTGACTCCGAGGTCGAGACATAGTTGTTCTGTCGACTTCGAACTCTAGAGATGTTGTGGTGATACAATGAAATCTTTCAAGTTCCTGTGCGCCTCCTCACATTTGGTCGTCCATTTGAAACACTGATCTTCCATAACGCTTTAAAGAACGCCACACACTTTTCGCCCGATTTTGGGATGAAACAACTGAGTTCGGCAATCTGACAGGTTAGCCTCTGAATTTTCTTGGTACTCTGCAGAAGCAACATATCTAGGATCATCTGTACTTTTTTGGATTGGCTTTCAGTCCTTTAGGAGTCAGGTGAAGGCTGAGGAACTTTCCGGTCGACACCCCGACGGTGCACTTGGAGGGGTTTAATCTCATATTGAATTTTTTGAGTGTTTCAAATGTCTTTTTCAGATCTTCGATGGTTTTTTGGTGATTCAATTTTAGTTATAATATCATCGATATACACCTCAACATTTTTTTTTACTAGAAAAATTACATCCATGAAGCCTTGATTGGTCACTTAAGCGTTCTTAAGCTCGATGGGCATTACATTAAAACAAAATATGCCCTGCGCAGTAATGAAGTTTGTTTTCTAACTTCCAGCATCTTGTTCTTGAAGCGGGTAATGTTTCATGAGGTGTGTTTGAGCCTTTTCTCGGCTTTTGTACATTCGAGAAGTGTGAGATGAAGAGTTGTTTAAACTCATAGTAGTTGGGGATTGTTTCGGTCGGTAGATCGTTGAACTATCGAAGGAACGACTCCTTCAGGGTGATTAGGAAGAGACGACATAATATATCGTTGTCACTTGAAGCAGACCGACCGATGACTTGAAGAAAGCTACGTGGCCGATCAGATCGTTCTTCCCCTTGAAAGGATCTAGACGCGGGATCCTTAGCTTGGATAGGGTTACCACCTCTTTTATTTGGCTAGTAAATGCTTCCCTTGTGAGCGACTGGACATGTACTCGGACCCGCCCTTATTGTGTTCTATGCACACTATTTCTCTTTGGGAGCTTTCTCCTTCATAGTCTTTCCCGTTTCTCGTCTGTTGCATGATCCACGCTCACCGCACCACATTTTCAAATGTTGGATCTTACCTTGTCTTTTACGAATCACGCCCTGAGAGTTAGAGACGGATGAAGGAGAGGAGGATAGGGAGTAGAGTAAGTCTGAAATTCACCGTTGCAAGAGTCGAGTGAGAGCCTATTTATTTGTATTTTTAGCTCTATATTTATAGGGATGCATTTTGTACAATTACAGAAAAAAGGAAATAATTATGAAAACTGTTCTTAATGTGTTTAAAATACTAATTTTTTATATAAATTTCATGTTATATTTGTATTACAATTTGAATTTCAATTATGGCGGTGATCGGCTGACCGATCGGCTTGACTTTGGTTGACTATGACCACAAACCGATTAGCGATTTTGCCTTTTGACGTACAAGGCAGTCGGTGGAGGTGCTTGGTCGTGCGTTGCTCCGGTTCATCATGGATCGGTCGGTCTGTTGCAGTTGGGCGCTCCTACGTGCGTTCAGGTCTGTTGAGACCGCATGTGTGGGTCTCTCGCAGCGAAGACCGATCGAATCTTCCCTGGTCGGGCTGGTAGGATGCTCTACTTGCCTAACCTCCATTTGAGCCGTCCAATGACTTTGATATTCGTGCTGGTATTATGATTTGACCATTCCAAAAAAAAAAAAATCTCATAATCTTATATATTTTTATTTTTGGCGCATTTACGGATTCTCATTATCTTATATATTTTTATTTTTGGCGCATTTACGGATATACCACCCAAATCCTATGTATTTACTTATCAAACACGTAACTTTTGAATTTTACATTTATTCCCCAATTATTTCATAACACAAAAAAAAAAAACAATTTTAACTTTTAAAAAGTGAAATGCACCATTTTCATGCATAGGTCAGGTGTTATGTATGTAAAAATTGAAGTTTTGGTATTATATATGTAAATACATAGAAATTTAGTGGTATTTATGTAAATCTTAATTTTGTTTTCTATTATGATTATTTAGTTCATATAATTACTATAAGGGATTATTATAAGGCGAGATAATTCATATATTTTTATGTGGCATTAACGACTTGATAAACATAATTTATTAATACTCAAATTAAATTTAACATTGAGTTAATTTAATTATTAACATTTTTTTAAACTTACTCTAAATTAGTTGGAATGATAGCTAAAACTAGCATGCCTTAATTGTACCTATAAAGGTAAAATTATGCTAGAAAACTTTCCTAAATGTTCCCAACAAATCACACTGCAAACATTAAGTTGTTGTCTGACAAAAAATGAGATTCAAGTTATTAGAATTTAGTAAATATCATAAATCCAGAATGAGTTAAATATAAAAAACTATATGGCAACAGATTTATTAAATATTATAAATTCAGTAAAATTGTTTGACAAGTTTTGTTAAATCCTTATAGCTCTTTCATCAAATCCCGTAAATCTCGTAAATTCGTTGATTTGTGGGATTTAATAATCAACGGCTTTATTTTCCCAAAATTGACTGTCTGACAAAATTTAGCCTGCATTCAAGTTAAATTTGGGCTAAATGTGCCACCGGAGAGCCCCTAAAAAAAGCAATTGCTAGAAAATTGTCTTTCAAAAAGAAAAGTTTTAAAAGATAGAAAGTAAATGTGAAGAATTAGAGAAATGCAACCCACTCGCTGTAGAGTTCAAATTTTCAATTAAGATGTCTTGAGTTTAAGGTTTACTATAAGCTTGTTTATGCACTTTCAATTAAATTTGCTCAAATTAGAAGAAAATGATTAATAATGATTTTCTTCTCTAATTGTGAGTTGAGATAAAAAGTGAATGTTATAAGGGAGAAAATATTTCATCTGCCGACAACAGTATGAATTGTTTCATGCCGTGCTTATGGGCGACATGGTACATAGCCATGATATCGCCTGAAGGTGCAATTATTTTCTGGTGACAATGAGAGGAGCAATAAAGGCTGAAATGGGAGTGGAGAACACTAGATTGAACAGTTAAAAGATGGTCCAACAATTAGGATTGCAACTGTTAAATAATTAAGTATATTTAACTTTTTATATATTTCTATACATGACAAAAAAAAAAACAGAGACTATTATTGAAAATTGACCTTGACGTTTTCCTAATTAGTTTTTAAGCATATAATAAATTAAAAAAGTTAAAAAAGGTTAGATAATTTAGCTTTAACATACCTGCACTCCCTCGCAAGCTAACGATAGCGGTGATTGGTGGCGCAGGTTGGGGAGAGGGGATTACAGCTATCGGGCGGGCAGAAACAGCGGATCGCAATTGCGAGGGCGATGCTGAAGAATCCAGCGGTACTGCTGCTTGATGAGGCGACGAGCGCGCTCGATTCGGAATCCGAAAAACTTGTACAGGAAGCATTGGATCGGTTCATGATCGGCCGCACCACGCTCATAATCGCCCACCGCCTCTCCACCGTCCGCAAGGCCGACCTCGTCGCCGTTATTCAGCAGGGGAGTGTGGCGGAGCTTGGCACCCACGAGGAACTCATGCTGCGGGCAGACAATGGGCTCTATGCTCGCCTCATCCGCCTACAGGAGCAGGCTCACGAAACCGCGCTCATCAACGCCCGGAAAAGCAGTGCTCGGCCATCCAGCGCACGAAACTCTGTGAGTTCGCCCATCATTACACGCAACTCCTCCTACGGCCGCTCCCCCTATTCGCGACGCCTGTCCGACTTCTCCACCACAGATTTCACTCATTCCTTCGACCCTGTTCACTACCGGTCGGGGGAGAAGGTAGGGTTCCGTGATCAGGCAAGCTCGTTCTGGCGGCTCGCCAAGATGAACTCCCCAGAGTGGGCTTACGCGCTCATTGGCTCCGTTGGCTCCATGCTATGTGGCTCCATGAGCGCATTCTTCGCCTATGTCCTTAGCGCGGTACTCAGCGTCTATTATGCCCAGGACTACGCTTATATGCGACGTGAGATCGCCAGGTACTGCTACCTCCTTATCGCCGTCTCCTCCGCCGCTCTGTTATTCAACACGCTGCAACATTTCTTCTGGGATGTGGTAGGCGAGAACCTAACCAAGAGGGTCCGGGAACAGATGTTCTCCTCTTTTCTCCGGAACGAAATCGCCTGGTTCGACCGCGATGAAAATTCGAGTTCCAGGACGGTAGCTAGACTCTCACAGGACGCCCATAATGTGAGGTCCGCCATCGGGGATCGGATATCAGTGATAGTGCAAAACATTGCGCTCCTGCTCGTCGCCTGCACGGCAGGGTTCGTCCTTCAGTGGCGCCTTGCCCTCGTTCTCATTGCCGTATTTCCCGTCGTAGTCGCCGCTACCGTGCTACAGGTGCGTTAATCTTGATCATGCTCTACAACTTTTTATTCCCCGGATAATTCATCGAGCAATTTGGCAACCGCAGAAAATGTTTCTCAAAGGCTTCTCCGGGGACTTAAAAGGCGCACACGCTAGGGCCACGCAAATCGCCGGGGAGGCAGTGGCGAATGTACGGACGGTTGCGGCATTCAATTCGGAGGCCAAAATCACTGAGATTTTCACGGCAAACTTGGAGGGCCCGCTGCGGCGGTGCTTCTGGAAAGGCCAGATTGCCGGGAGCAGCTACGGCGTTGCGCAGTTCCTCCTCTACGCTTCCTACGCTCTTGGGCTATGGTACGCGGCTTGGCTGGTGAAGCATGGGATCTCCGACTTCTCCAAAACCATCCGGGTTTTCATGGTCCTAATGGTATCCGCGAACGGCGCTGCCGAGACACTGACCCTCGCTCCAGACTTCATCAAAGGGGGTCAAGCCATGAGTTCCCTGTTTGAGGTCATCGACCGCAAGACCGAGATCGAACCCGACGACAAAGAGGCACCCCAGGTGCCGGAGCGCCTCCGCGGGGAGGTGGAGCTCAAGCACGTGGACTTCGCCTACCCATCGCGGCCGGATTTCCCAGTACTCCGCGACCTCACTCTGCGTGCCCGCTCTGGCAAGACCCTTGCGCTGGTTGGACCCAGCGGATGCGGGAAAAGCTCCGTCATCTCACTCATCCAGCGCTTCTACGACCCAAACACCGGCCGGGTTCTGGTGGACGGGCGGGACATTCGCAAGTATAACCTCCGAACGCTGCGGCGGGTGATGGCGGTGGTGCCGCAGGAACCGTGCCTGTTCGCCGCCACCATTCACGACAATATTGCGTACGGGCGAGAGGGGGCAACAGAAGGTGAAGTCATCGAGGCAGCAACTGCGGCAAACGCTCACCGTTTCATATCTGGGATGCCGGAGGGGTACCAGACGTGGGTTGGGGAACGCGGGGTGCAGCTCTCAGGAGGACAGCGGCAGCGGATCGCCATTGCGCGGGCGCTGCTCAAGAAAGCGCCGGTGTTACTGCTCGACGAGGCTACAAGTGCGTTGGACGCAGAGTCGGAGCGGTGCGTGCAGGAGGCGCTGGATCGAGCCGCCGCCGGAAGGACCACTGTCATGGTAGCCCACCGGCTTGCCCTGGTTAGAGGTGCTCAAACTATCGCAGTTATTGAGGAGGGGAAGGTTGTGGAGCAGGGATCACATTCTCACCTGCTAGCGCAGCATCCAGATGGCTGCTATGCTCGGATGCTGCAGCTGCAGCGTTTGTCGCACGGGATTGTGTTGGGTGCTGCTGTGGCTGGGCAAATTTCAGTTGCATCTACGAGTGCAAGGGAGGCCGAGTAGTCATCCGTTGCGCGAGGAATTTTGTACGTCAACGGTGAATCTACTGTTCCGTTTTTCTTTTTCCTTTTTTTTTTCTTTACTAATGGTTAAAATATTACTTGCATTTGGAGTGCTATAGAGAAATGCTACATGCAATGTAGGTTTTTTTTTGGTTTCTATTGTTTGATGTAACACAAATAGAGACTAAAAGCATATGATATATGATTTTGCAATGAAATCTCAGTTAGTGCCGAGTGTTAAATGTGGGAGTGATTCGGTATGCACAATCCTTAGGGTCCGTTTGACGCAGCTTATTTGGTTTGGTGTCGTTTTGAAAACACACCTGCACTGTTTGGGTAAAGTGCGTTTTGGCAGCTTATGGGTTTTGAAAACGCTGAAAGCAGCGTTTGGCAGCTTTCTCGCAGCAGTCTGACTTTTTCAAAAAAAATAAAAGTTTGTAATAAACACCGCACATAGCTTATCAACATATTATTCAATAAGCTGCAGCTGCCCCAAACAGACAGTTTTTACTGTTACATCTTTATTTCAATTTGGAGGATTTACATACATACAACTTAAAAAGAAGATATTTACCTAACGCCTAAAACTTCATTTTTACTAGTCTACCACCTAGAACCCAATCATAACATCAGAAATATCATTCCATTGCCTTGCGTTAACTGATGTGAGCCCATATTGCTCGCAGCTTAGCAATTGTTGCCATTGTCGCGTGGTGTCATCCGTAGATGGCCAAGCAGGTATGCTTACTATTGAAATCTTGCAACTCTCCATTTTTTTCTCCTGTTACGTTAGGTATTACCTATCACATTTGTCCTCAGCGAATATGGTTCTATACGTACAAGGAGCTAGATAACAATGTAGTGGCTATACACAACGATCAAGCTTGTCGTATTATTGATGTTGAAAGTGTCATTATTAGGACACATGATGGTACTGTGAAGGAGATGAGCAATGTTAAACATGTTCCACATATCAAGAATAATTTGTTGTCAGTTGGGGCTTTAGAGTTCAAGGGCTACGAGGTAATTATTGAGCAGAAGTTTTGAGGATATGTCGTGGAGCAATGATTTTTATGAACGGAGATTGTCATCACAATCTTTACTATCTTTAGGATAGTAAAGTTGTCGGAACGACTGTTGTTGTTGATGATTCTTCTAATGTCACTATCTTGTTGCTTATGATAGTAGCCCGTGCCGAAGAGGCTTCACTTCAAGCTTTGATAAAAAAATGATTGATCAAATGGCCGAGCACCTGTAAATTTGATTTATACGAACATAGTGTATTTGATAAGTAGACACGTGTATATTTTAGTACTTTTATCCATAATAGAAAAGATGTTTTAGAGTATGTTTACATAGATATTTATAGTGTAATGAATACAACAGTTTTCAGCAAGTGGAGATACCTTGTTTATTTTATTGATGATTACTACAGGTATGTTTTGTTGTACACCATAAAACACAAATTGAGGTGCTGAATATTTTCATAATTTGGAAGTGGATTGAGACTGAGACTGGTAAAAAGATCAAATGTATCAGAACAGACAATGAGAGTGAATACACTGCGAATGCATTCTTGAAGGAGTGTCAGAGAGCTGAGATAGAGCACCAAAGCAGAAGGGGATGATAGAGATGATGAATTAGACTTTGGTATGTTATTTAGGACTGAGTCGAATAGATTCTATTGGGCCGAGGCAATAGACTCTATATGTCACTTGGTGAACCGTCTGCCTTCTGCAGCTACTGAAAGATCTAAAGGAGATGTGGTCAAGGAATCATGATAGATATTTTGAGCGCATGAGAGTATTTATGTGTCCAGCTTACTATCGGGTGCAAAATTATAAATTGGAACCATGAGCAAAAAAGACAATCTTCATTGGCTTCATACGTGGAATCAAGGGCTTCAAGCTGCATGATCAATCAGAAATGAAGGTTATCATTAGCAGGGATCTTACGTTGGACGAGCCAAGCTTGTTAAAAAAATGGGACTCAAAGCAAGTGGAAAGTTCTACTGCGAACGCAGATAGACAACATAAATTTGAGTTTGATTCAACTCCATTTGTTCCACAAAGTTTGGCTGCTCTAACTTAGGTACCTGAATCAGTTGCAGCTCAAGAGTATTTGTTGATAATGAGTAGGAGGAGGTGGAAGAAGATTCTGAGGACGAGGATCCTGCTCAGGAATCTATTGCTAGGAGTAGGACCACATGCTAAAATGTCCCAAAATTAGCTTGGTCGACGGATCACATTGCATTTGCACTTTCAGCCACAAAGATAAAATTTCTTAATCACTAAAAAGAAGCGGTGGAGAGCCTAGATTGTGATATTTGGAGAGCAACGATGGATGGAGAGATAGAGTATCTTCGGAACAATGATACTTTGAGGTTGGTGAAGCTTCCTCTAGGAAAGAAATTCATCAAGTACAAATGAGTGTATGCAAAGAAGAAATGATCTCATTGAGCTGATGTATGGTACAAGACAAGATTAGTGACAAAAGACTTTGCACAACAAGAAGGGATTCATCATGACAAAGTGTTCTACTCGATGGTCAAACATCCCTCAATCTGTGTTTTCTTAGCACTTGTAGCATAGTACAACCTAATCTTGGAACAACTTGTTGTGAAAACTGCATTCTTACACAAAGAATTGCAAAAGGAGGTGTACATGCAGCCGTTGCCTTGATATGAATTATTAAAAGACTTGGTTTCCAACTTATAGAAGTCTTTATATGGGTTGAAGCAGCCAAGGAATCATGATAGATATTTTGAGCGCATGAGAGTATTTATGTGTCCAGCTTACTATCGGGTGCAAAATTATAAATTGGAACCATGAGCAAAAAAGACAATCTTCATTGGCTTCATACGTGGAATCAAGGGCTTCAAGCTGCATGATCAATCAGAAATGAAGGTTATCATTAGCAGGGATCTTACGTTGGACGAGTCAAGCTTGTTAAAAAATTGGGACTCAAAGCAAGTGGAAAGTTCTACTGCGAACGCAGATAGACAACAGAAATTTGAGTTTGATTCAACTCCATTTGTTCCAGAAAGTTTGTCTGCTCTAACTTAGGTACCTGAATCAGTTGCAGCTCAGGAGTATTTGTTGATAATGAGTAGGAGGAGGTGGAAGAAGATTCTGAGGACGAGGATCCTGCTCAGGAATCTATTGCTAGGAGTAGGACCACATGCTAAAATGTCCCAAAATTAGCTTGGTCGACGGATCACATTGCATTTGCACTTTCAGCCACAAAGATAAAATTTCTTAATCACTAAAAAGAAGCGGTGGAGAGCCTAGATTGTGATATTTGGAGAGCAACGATGGATGGAGAGATAGAGTATCTTCGGAACAATGATACTTTGAGGTTGGTGAAGCTTTCTCTAGGAAAGAAATTCATCAAGTACAAATGAGTGTATGCAAAGAAGAAATGATCTCATTGAGCTGATGTATGGTACAAGACAAGATTAGTGACAAAAGACTTTGCACAACAATAAGGGATTGATCATGACAAAGTGTTCTACTCAATGGTCAAACATCCCTCAATCTGTGTTTTCTTAGCACTTGTAGCATAATTTTGAAGACTGCATTCTTACACAAAGAATTGCAAAAGGAGATGTACATGTAGCAATTGCCTTGATATGAATTATTAAAAGACTTGGTTTCTAACTTATAGAAGTCTTTATATGGGTTGAAGCAGCCACCACGGCAGTGACATAAAAAAAATTGATCAGTTTATGAGGGGAAAAAAGTAGAAGATGAGCCAGTATGGATCATTGTGCATATTTCAAGAAGTTGGCAAATAGTGAATTCATTTACTTCCTTTTACATGTTGATGATATGTTGATTGCATCTGTCAGTCAGATTTAAGTTGATATGATGAAGAATCAACTGTCCAAACATTTCTAAATGAAGGAGTTTGTGAAGCTTGCAAAATTCTTGACATGATTCTCAAGGACAAGGCAGTTGGAAAGGTTTAATTTTTGCAAGAAGCTTATGATCGGAAG